TTCTTGTCAGTTTTATGGTCATTTTAGTCAGCTGTCATAGCAATTTGAATATCATTTTACATACAACTTTACAAGTTTATTTATTTATTTATTAATGCTACACTAAACTCATGTTAACACGCATTGTTTACATATTGTGGCTTTATCATTGTTTAAACAGTATTATTACTGTATTATATTATTTATGCTGGCCCCATTAATTTCCATTGTAAGTGTTTTATTGTAACCCAGATTTTGTCTTTTTTGTAAACAAAAGAAGGGATGAGTCAAAAATTAATGTTGATTGAGTTGAACTTGTACTGAACCTGGAATATTCCTTTGATTTTTACTGAAATTCCCTCTCTGGGTTTCTTTTTGCTTTATGGAGTCACTATTCGATTAGCTTTGCGTGTCCAACATGTGAAGCCTGTCTACCGTGTATAGAACGGATGGATTAAGAGTGTTCTGTCCATCCTGGTCAGATGGCATTACCTATCAGTGAATCAGACCTATCATCCCCTCAAATGACAGCAAATTACTGCGACGCTGTCAGGTATGAGCTCTAATCACACACGGCTCTCCGGGGGGAATGTAATCACACCCCGGCCTCACTGCAACTCAGCAACTGGCTTAAAAACTGCCCTCTGACATCCACAGAAGACCTTTTCACTGAAAAGCACCATGGATTTGCCATAACATGGGAAAACCATCACAGTAATATCATGGTGTATGATGGTGATATAGTACGACGAGTGGCCCAAAAAAAGTACTTGAGCCACACTTAAAATGTATGAATATAATTTCATTAGATAGCAAAATTTTACACCAAGTGGCAAACAAATGACTTCTGAGATTTTCTCAGGAATAAGTTACATTTTCTTACCCATGTTTTGCAATGACATTTAAAGCAACTGTTGTGTTGGTGATTTTTAGATTTTAACCAAGCCACCGTCGACAGAGGCGTCTTGTTTTGTTTATATGCTTGGATGGCATGCTGCAGCAGAACACTGTTTGATTTGTTGCCATGTCTACTCATTATAAGCTTCTTTGGGCTTGTTGTTTGGGCTTGGCTCATAAAGCGATCCAGTGTATAGAATTAATAGGGACAGGAATTAAAAAAGACAGGTAATTTTGGAGGAGAGTCGCAATATTTCGGTCTTGTTTCCAATATAAAGCATTTGGATTTATTCAGGATTATTGTTGTTTTGTTCGGGGCGGGG